GAGTTTTTGATATTTATGTTGCCATCAGATCTTCAAAGGCATTGGTTGCAACAATTTGGCAGGTAATTTACCATTCTAACATGCAAATTAAGGATTGCAAGTGCACTTGTCCCCTATTGGGAAACCGAAGGGAGGATCTGACTGGACCATAAAAAAGGCAAGAATTACATCAGTAATTGGTGCAATACAATTACTGTTGGATACTCTAATTCGGGGAGGAGCTCAATGCCCATAAAAGAATAAACTCCATGTGTTTAGGATCGTTTTTTTCTACCTGATAGCATCAAAAGATCTGTGCTCTGACTATTGATGAGTAGTAGTCAGAGATTGGTTCTTTGTGCGCTTTACATTAACTTTATTACAAGTGGCTCCTAGTGTGTATAGTTTAAGTGTGAGTAATGTTTGTTATCCCATAGTTGTGTTTGTTGATATTTATTGTTTGGTTTAAGATTTAATGCTGAGGGTTGTGGATTTCATCGAAGGTACAATAAAATTCCATTGAGTTTACTTAACCATTGCTTACTCAAGCTTTCTGTACAAATCAAAGAAGGCGGGCATACATAAACAGGTTCAGATGTAAAATAAACCTCTGATTGACTGAAGCTTTCCAATTTGCTTTAATTTAAATAGCAATTGGTAGTACCTGTCGATCTGGAAGAACTCATTAGTCAAGTTATACCTAGTTATAGCATCTTGCATTCATTAGTGAGGATTGAACACAAAGGCCACCCAGTACACGCTGCGAGGGGGAAAGCGAGCCATATTATGGGTGTACATATAGGGGTGTAAAAAACGTCTCCAAGTGAAAGTTTCAACTCTGCCAAGCAAGCCCGAGGCAGAGAGATTATGATGTTGGTCATGAGCCTTGTTCCCTTCCAATTTGTCGGGCTATGAACAAAATATGTAAAGGAGTACAGCCTTTTAGCCACATCCCTTCCAGTATTCCTGTCACAAAGTAGCGGAACATATGGAGTCTTTATGGAATGTCAAGTGGGCAGGTGTTAAATTGGCTTGAAAACATTATGCAGCACCTTGAACTTCTGCTTTCATACCCTTTCCCCATTCTTCTCTTTCCAAGTCGTTTTCTAGGTCTCTTTTAACTTCTCTGAAGAGAGCGTCATGGGTAAAGTACAGGTGAGCATGCAAGAATTTCCTTGATTTGGTAGCACAGCTTTAGAGTGAGTTTGTTTAGACTGGAGTTTGCGAAGTGCACTATCGACAAAGCTAGACGTAGCAGTTCTGGAAGCTTTCTGTTGAGACAGATTGGAAGGATGGTTGAAATGGCCATTCAGACTGTCAAAAGTAAAATAGGACTTGCACAACCAGAACAAATATCTGTGCACAACTGCATTGTTTCTGTACTGACAATTGTTTGTCTCTTTACCAACCTTTAAAAAATGATTAGTAAAGCCATTCGGCCATCAGACATATTCCTTCAACAGATCGTGCCAAATAGCAACAACAAATTACATTTATATATTGCCTTTCATGTCGGGAGGACTTCCCAATGCGCTGGGCAGTCTGGGGTTTGCATCCGGGGTTGGATTTTGGAGAGTGGGGGCTAAGTGAGATGATGAAGGGTGGGGGCCAAGACTGAAGATAACCAAAGGCATAGTCAAAGAGAAAAGTCTTGAGACGGACCTTGAAGGAGGGGAGCGAAGGGGTGAGGCAAAGGGACTCTGGGATGAAGTTCCAGTGAATGAAAGCTCGACCGCCAATGATGGGATGGGCAGGACAGAGGGCATGGAGTAGACCAGTGCCTACTAAGTGGGGGGAGTGAGTGGATTGGTAGGGTTTTAGAAGGATATAGCGGTAGGGTGGGGAAAGACTTGGAGGGATTCAAAAGTGATGACTCAAAGAAACTTGAACTCAATCCTCTGAGAAATGGAGAGCCAGTGATGACAGGCGAGGATGGGGTGATAGGTTTGCACAGCCTGGTGCGGGATAGAACATAAGCTGTAGAGTTCTGAATGGTCTGCAGCTTGTGGAGATAAGAATTGGCAAATCCAGCAAGCAGAGAATTGACGTAGTCCAGCCGGGTTGTGACAAAAGCACGGATAAGGGTCTCAGCAGCCTGAAGAGAGAGACAGTGGCGGAAGCAGGCAATGTTGCAGAGGTTGAAGACAGGCAAAGTGGGGGCAAGGTGAGGAATTGAGGCAGGGAGTTCCAGAGGGTCTAGGCTAAATAGATTGATATAACGCAGAAATACACCATATGTTACATAATGAAACATATGTCTTTATGTAACTAAGGCCATAGCCTGTGCCAGTATATTCCACTCAAACCTCCACCCCTTCCTATTATCTCTCCAATATCCCTTGCGTTTCAAGGCATTATCCTATGTGAAGGCATCTATATAAATGCAAATTGTTGTTGAGTTGTCATTTGTGACTTGAGGTCATTATTAATGAATCATCACAAATGTATACCCCATTATAGTACTGGAGTCAGTTTTATCTAACATGATTATCCTGTTTACGTCTTTAATAGAAGGGCTTTATTTTAGATTCACGGTCTGGAATGACGGGTCAGACTCCAACTCTGTGTGATGTTCCCTCCAAGCATCAAGGATCTGTTGGAGAGTATGGGCTTATCTAATATTGGCACCAGCCCAGAAGGATCCCTCCAGCCATGACTGAAGACAGAGTTCAGCCAGTACAAGAAATATTTAGGATCATTCATGTGTAGTTGAACTCCCTTCTGGAGTAATGCAATTCACTGATTTTCTGCTTCTGCAGCTGAGNAAAAAAACTGAAGCTGATTCATTTAAGCCACTCATCCCAGTCAATTCTTCCTATACTCTCCAATTGTATTGTTCGGTGTTGCTGGGAAACTTCAGAGCATGGCTGATCATTTTTTGTTTCAAGAGGGCAACCCTTGAATGTCTATGGTGGGGTGCTGACCCTGTGACACAGGGTAACTGCCTGGTCAGAGTGGTTGGTCTGTTTGTGCTCTGAGTGATCGTACCAAGGCACTCTGCCGTGTGAAGACTATTGCTGACCATGAAGCCCGGTCTGTCCAATGGCTAACAGAGTGGATCTGATGACCGACGATGTAGTCAAGCCCCATCATCATGCCCCACGCCCCAACCGTCGTGGCGATGGTGTGGCCCTCACATCCCCGTACTCCACCGGCTCGTTCCCCTCTTTCGAACACCTTACCCTCTGTCATCCCCTCCACCTCTCTCTAAAAATTCTCTTACTTTACTGCCCCCCAAAATCCTCTCCCACCTTCATCTTTGACATCTCCACCCTCCTTGCTTCCCTCTGCCTCTGCTCTGACTGCCTCCTAGGTGACTTCAACCTCCACTTCACCCCCTCCTGCTCCACCTCCTCAGACTTCTCTTCTCTCCTCTCTCAACCTCTCCTTCCATATCCACCCTGCTACCCACGGTCACCCGCTTGACCTGATGATCACTCAGGGCCTCAGCATCTCAGATGTCACCATCACTGACAAGGCCATCTCTGACCATCATTTCATCTCCCTCAACTCCCATATACCTCTCCACTGCCTCCAAACCTACCACCATCTTCTACCGCCCATGGAAGAAGATCTCCCTGCAATCCCTCTCCGCTGCACTGAAGTCCTCTGATCTCCTCCCCCTCTGGCCCACCTCTCGCACCAACCCACTCGTTGCACTCATTCTTCTCCCAGCACCCTCTGCACCACACTCAACGTCCTTGACCCCTCACCTCTCAAACTGCCGACCACACTTGGCTCAAATCCGGCCTAACGGTCCACCGTCACATCTGGCTGGACCTCATCAAAACCTACCGCTTCGCTCTCGCCTCAGCCAAACCATCCTTCTATTCCAGGTTAATCCTGGAAGCGAAAGGCAACCCCAGGCTCCTGTTCTCCACCACCAACCGACTCCTCGCCACGCCTCACAAATTCTTTCCTCTGAATCTCACTGCGAGAAAATACTGGACTTGCTGGAGTCCAAAATCGAGGGAATCCGTTCAGCTGCCACTGCCCTCCCAACTTCCGCCCAACCCTACCCCCACTCCACACAACTACCCATCTGACAACTACCCACCTCTCCTTCCACACCTTTGAACCTGTCACCCCCTCCTCTGTTTTCACCATTGTAACCTCCATGAAGCTCACCACCTGCTCCCCGGACCCCATCCCCACCCCTCTCCTTAAATCCCAGCTCCACCTCCTTGCCCCACTACTCGCCGACATCATTAACCTCTCCTTGTCATCTGGCACTGTTCCTTCCCTTGACCCATCACAGCTATCTAACTACTGGCCCATCTCAAATCTCCCCTTCCTATCCACAGGATGCTCCCCGATTACCCCAGACTGGACTAGCTGCCTGTCCCAGAGAGGATCAACTTCAAGATCCTCACTCTTGTCTTCAAATCCCTCCACTCCTCTGCACCCCCCTACCTCTCTGACGTCTCTCCTCACAACAGTGCCCGTTGCCTTCACTCCACTGGGTCTGGCCTCCTCCTTGTCCCCCGAATCCTCCGCTCCACCCTCGGTGGCCGTGCCTTCAGCCACTACGCCCCGAGGCTCTGGAACTCTCTTCCTCACTCCCTTTGCCTCACCCCCTCTCTTCCTATTTTCAGGTCTCGGCTGAAGACCTTTCTTTTCGACCGCGCCTTTGGTCACCGTCCGTCCCCTCCCCCGGCTCAGTCCCAGGATCCGTTACTGTGAAGCGCTCTGAGACGCCATCCGGTGCGGAGGGCGCCATATAAATCCAAGTTGTTATTGTTGTTTGTTGTATTATGCAGTTTGTGTCTGACTCAACTGCAAAACAGTCTACGGGGAGTAGAGGTCATGCGATGGTTGAAATATTCGGCTGTTGATGCCCGCTGCTAAACAAATCAATGTCAAACTTTGGCCATCACGTGGAATGGCTTGAGTTTAAGAACATAAGAATTAGGAGCAGGAGTAGGCCATTCGGCCCCTCGAGCCTCCCCCGCCATTCGATAAGATCATGGCTGATCTTCTAACCCAACTCTAATTACCCGCCCTATCCCCGTAGCCTTCTATTTTTAAAAAAAATCTATCGGTGTGAAACTGTGGGGTGGGTTTTTAGCGCGCGGAAGCATTTCTAGCTGAAACACGAATGGCTTCGTTAAATGAATCATATTATGCGTTCGACCTATTTAACGTTGTAGTTACGAGGACATGGTTTTCGGGGCAGTAGGCTGGCTCGGGGACCCCAGAGTACCAACTAAAACCGCACAGCTTGCCATTAATATGGCTGTCCGTCCAGCAAGCTCTCCTGCTGCTTGTCCAGCTGGGACCACTCTACCCAACAGGGCTTCGGCTTACAGGGTTAACAGGAGCTGATGTTGGTTGATTCCCTGCTCACAGTGACTGGTCCGCCCTTCCAAAGTCCTTTTTTCCCGCTTATAACAAGAACTTGGATTTATATGGCGTCCACCACGCCGGACGGCGTCTCAGAGCGCTTCACAGTAATGGATCCCGGGGCTGAGCCGGGGAGAGGGGGCGGTGGGGGGGGGGGGGGAGGAAGGTGACCAAAGGCGCCGTCGAAAAGAAAGGTCTTCAGCAGAGACCTGAAAATGGGGAGGGAGGGAGACGAAGGGGGAGTGAGGAAGGGAGTTCCAGAGCCTCGGGGCATAGTGGCTGAAGGCACGGCCGCCGAGGGGGGAGCGGAGGACTCGGTGGGTGTGGGTGGGGGACGAGGACGAGGAGGCGGCCAGACCCGGCGGCAACGAGCGGCCAAAGCGGCGCGTGGGGGTCGATTTGGCGGATCGCTTTTTCGGGGGCGGCGCGGGCGGGGGGGGGGCGCGGGGGGGGGGGGGCGATAACTCCTCCCAAAAAAAAAAGATAACCAATAAATCGGTCCCGTCAACCCGCGGGCGCCGGTCGCGGGCGCACATCGGCCGCGGGGTTTCGCCCGCGGTGGGGGGGGGACGGGGGGGGGAGACGCGCGCGGTCATAATTCCACCCGACCGCGGGCGGCGCGAAGCGCTTTTGAGACGTCGCGAAGCGCTTTTGAGACGTCGCGAAGACCTGATCAGGCGCTGCGTATCAAGTGCGAGGATTATTACGACGATGGATGATGGATGGTGATGGGTTACAGGTGGGGGTCGTGTGAAGGGCTCTGTCCCTCCCCCTCACGGCTCCGCCATTGGCACAGACACACACACACACACGCGCAGACAGACGCCATCTTCCGCGCCGCTCACTTCCTCTCCAGACTCCGGGTGTTTGGAGGGTAAACATCCGTCGAAGTGGAGGTGGAGGTGGAAGTGGAGGGGATCAGTGACGATGTCGGTGTGATATTTTTTTTGAGGTGGAAGTAAAATAGGCGCTGCAACTCGGGGACCCTGAAACCCCCCTCTCCTCCTCCTCCTCCTCCCCCCCACCCCCTCTCTCTCTCTCTCTCTCTCTCTCGCGCTCCCCCTCTCCACCTCCCGAGGCCTCGCGCTCGGGTCAACAAGACCCGGGAGGGAGACCTCCGTCGAGGGGCCGTCCGCCATTGCCCGTCCGTCAGTCAGTCAGTCAGTGAGTGAGTGAGTGAGTGAGTGACACCCCCCCCCCCCCCCCCCAGGCCCAGGCCCGCGGGCCGCACCGGCCCCGAGCCCGTCTGTAAAGCCCGGGACTCCCCCCTCCCCCCCCCCCTCCGGCCGTTACTGACAGTTGGCGCTGCGTCACCGGGGCCTCGGTCACTGGGTGGGGGTTGGGGGAGGGGCGGTTGTGTGGTGGGGGGGGGGGTGGTTGTTGAAGGGGGGTCTCAGCCACCGGTCACTCGGCCCCACCCCGGGGAGCCTTCGGTGACCGACTGGTCGCCGGGGTCTCGGTCGTCGGTCGCTCGGCGGCTGCTCTCGGTCGCTCCGGTGGGGGGCGGGCGGGCGGGCGGGTGGTCTCGGTGATTCCGGACCCTGTCCGCCGCCGCCGCCGCCGGTCACCATGGGGAACCAGTTGGCCGGCATCGCGCCCTCTCAGATCCTGTCGGTGGACAGTTACTTCTCGGACATCCACGAGTTCGAGTACGACAAGAGCCTGGGCAGCACCCGCTTCTTCAAGGTGGCCCGGGCCAAGCACCGCGAGGGGCTGGTGGTGGTCAAAGTGTTCGCCGTCCAGGACCCGTCGCTGCCGCTCACGGCCTACAAGCAGGAGCTGGAGGAGCTGAAGCTCAAGCTGCGGGGGGCCCACAACTGCGTGCCCTTCCAGAGGGCCAACTTCACCGAGAAAGCCGCCATGCTCTTCCGGCAGTACGCCAGGGACAACCTGTACGACCGCATCAGCACCCGGCCCTTCCTCAACAACGTGGAGAAGAAGTGGATCGCTTTCCAGATCCTCAACGCCGTGGACCAGGCTCACAGGGTCGGCGTCCGCCACGGGGACATCAAGACCGAGAATGTCATGGTCACCAGCTGGAACTGGGTGCTGCTCACCGACTTCGCTAGCTTCAAGCCCACCTATCTGCCCGAAGACAACCCCGCCGACTTCAATTACTTCTTCGACACCTCCAGGAGGAGGACCTGCTACATCGCCCCGGAGCGCTTTGTAGACGGGACCATGTTCACCACCGAGATGGAAGCGGCTCGGGATTCCACTACCCCCATAGTGGACTTGACCAGCAACAACCAGAGGACAAGAGGAGAACTCAAATCGGCCATGGACATCTTCTCTGCAGGTGCACTGTTTTTGAGGGGATCTCGATTGTTTTTTTTAAAAAAATAATAATAATAATAATAATAATCCTTGCATTTGATATAGCGCTTTTCACGTCGGGAGGACGTCCCAAAGCGCTTCACAGAACACACTGTAAAGTGAATTGACTGTATATTTGTGGGCGAACGCGGCAGCCAATTGCGCACAGCAATGTCCCACAAACAGTCGTAGATTGAAAATGACCAATTTTTTTTTTATTATTGTTTTTGGTTTTTGGAGGGATTATTATTAGGCGTGTGGAGTAAGGAAACTTGCCCAAGGTTTCGCCCTGCCTGGACGTGGTCAATAATGTATTGACCACGTTGTTGGATCAGTGGGGTTATCGTTGCAGGCAGAATTCACTTGCACTGATGTACAGTTTCTCCCATAAAATATACAGTTAAATCACTTCACAGTATATTATGTGAAGCTCTTTGAAATGCCTTGAAGATGAGATAAGGCCCTATTTCAAATCCAAGGATGATTATTATTATTATTAGAGCTTAAATCAATGTCGTTAGCTTCGACTGTAGTTAACCTTGATAAAGCAACGTACTTTGGTAGTCGGAAAATTTTATTGGTTTTCATGTCAACCTCAATATTGGAACCTACTGTGGTAGATTGACTTTATAGGTTTTCAAGTCCTGGTACTTGGGAATACTGTTTGCATTCAGTCTGCACCAATTGGCTGCTTGGTTCACCTACAAAATAAAAAGTAGTGTTTCAAGTCCATTGTACAACTGTTCAGTGAAGCTCTCTGCATTCTTAGTTCACAGCAAGAGTGATTGGGAGCAGGAAGAATAAATCATGCTTCCCATTTCCAACTTCTCTACACCTGATTAATAGTGTAATGCAGTGTGACTTCCAGTAGCAAAGCATTCTTATGACTGAGATGAGATCTCTTCAACCTGGGCTTCATTTGAACCTAGTTTATAGAAGTCAATAGACAACATTTTAATCATAACTTGGGAAATTAGTTCATTGACCAGCAGTGTGGAATTTTTTTGGTCATAAGATGGGGAATAGTTCTGTTGTCTCGCTTGATTTCATACGTGCATTGAGTTTCAGTAGCCTAACCATTAATGCAATACAATTTACATTTACATTAGCACCCTTCATTTTGGGAGAATTAAGTAGCAGAATGCATTTATTCATCTGTAAATGAGTATAGAGAAATTATGCTTTATCTGTATCCTACTGTGGAACAAATTTTTCACAATTAATTGACATTGTCTCATGTTAAGCAATTATTTTTATCCCTTGTATACCTGTTATTTTGATTTTAAACAGTGAGTTTATAAGTTCCAGTATCTGGCTTGAAGTTATTAGACCCAATCATATGTGACTATTAAATTGATGTGCAGTTTAAGTAGGATTGTTAGTGAAGCAGCCTGGATGACTGACTGTCTCTGCTTATGTTTGTTCATAAACCCTAGATTCCTCAGAAACTACACCCTTAATGCACAGGATAGTGTTATTGGTTTTTATACAAGCAAGTACTTGCAGAGTACTCCAAAGACTGATATTAACCCATGGTGCTCTAATAGTGATGATGGACTGCAATTTGTTCAGTTAGTTCACATTTGAAGTGCAATCTTCGGTTAATTAAATATACATATATTCAGTTAATGCTTTGAAGACAACTGGTCAGTTGCAACACAATTTTAAATTGTGTTTGCTTCAAAATTTAAAGTACTGTGATTTGGGAAAGAAATGTGATCAAGATTAATCAAACTCCCAGTTTTCAGCGTGTTTTTAGTCTTATCATCATCTAATCACAGGAAACTCATTTTATGGAAAGAATTGAAGGTTTGTGGCGGCTGACAATCACTTTAGTACAGTGTTTTCACTTAATGTTAGTAAGAAAATAGGTTTATAGCACCTATTGATTTTTACTTTACTTGCCATTAAGCAGTAAAATATTAACTACAATTTTGATTGCCTGTACCAATATTTATAATTTATATTTTCCCTCATTACAGGGTGTGTTATTGCTGAACTCTTCACAGAGGGAGTGCCTATATTTGACTTATCTCAACTGCTGGCCTATAGAAATGGACATTTTTCTTATGACCAGGTTCTCAACAAGATTGAGGATGTGAATATAAGAGGGTTGGTAAGTGCAGAGCAGCAACCTTAAATATTACTTTTAGTCAGTGCTACAGTGCTAGAGAATTTTTCTTTCCTGTGGATGTAAATGTGGCAGAATACACATCCTTTTTAAAAAATAACATTTTTTTTCACATGGGATGGAGGGAAAAAGGCATGAGATTTTGATGAGAATACATTCCTAACATTTTCATTGTACTTGTATATCTTCTAACCAGCTCGTACACTAGTTGGACCACGTGAATATTCAGTACTATAATTTGCAACGTGACTGAGATTGGACAGATGAGCTTTCAGTTGTTCTGCTTCTGCTTCTTGGAACTCCCTTTCAGAGTTTTTCTGCCCTGCCACTTTCTTCCTTCCTTCCGCACCTTTAAAACCAGCCTAAAGATGTATATTCTGATCACTTTCTTTCCCCTTCCCTCTGACTAGCTCAGGCTCACAGTCAGTGTATGAAGTTCATTAAGGTGTCGCCCTGCTGCAAAGGCACCATATAAATGTAAATTATTGTTGTTGCTTTTGTAGGGAAGAGGTGCGGAGTCTGATAATGCGGCTGATCTGATTACCAAACCTGCCTGTGATAAAGCTGTGAATGAGTGTCTCAGCAGCTGGGGGAAAGCTAGTTATGTTGGCGACGGAAAGCAGAGGGAGTGATGTAGCCCAGGTGTAGGCTTTGTAGGATAGTTGGGGGTTGAACAAGACACCGAAGTGCCACACCAAATTGGCTGCTGTGTTGCCCCACAAAACAAAGTTGCTACCGTTCTTAGCATACCAATGAAGCTCTTTGAGCTGTATTCCCAACATAAAATGCGATACCAAATGTTAAGATTATTATTATTATTGATCATCAACTCTGAGGTGGAATGAAGTACAGGTTTTAAAATGCAAATTAAAATGCCACTTTTTGACCCCAGTCATTTAATAACTAGTTTACTGAGAGTGGATGGGTTTGATTGTGTTCCCAATCGATTGATTTTCTTAATGAAATTATTCTGTTTAATATAGGTCAGTCAAATGATCCAACGTGAACCAGAAAAACGTTTAACAGCAGAGGAGCACCTTAAGCAACAGAGGGGGAAAGCGTTTCCAGAGCTGTTTTATATTTTTCTGCAACCATACATGGGGCAGTTTGCAAAAGAGACTTTCCAGTCTGCTGATGAGCGTATCCTGGTAATACGCAAAGACCTAGAAAACATTCTACAAAATGTTTGTGGAAGCGACCAGACTGAAAAAAGTGAAGGAGAAACAAAAGAGCATGGTTTGGTTATTTTGGTGTCTGTTATTACTTCCTGTCTGCAGACACTCATGTACTGTGATTCAAAACTAGCTGCTTTGGAACTTATTCTTCACTTGGCGCCCAGACTAACCGGCGAGATCCTGCTTGATCGGATTACTCCATATCTCTTGCATTTCGCCAATGACTCCATACCCAGGGTACGAGCTGAAGCAGTCAGAACGCTGACCAAAGTCCTAGCTCTTGTCAAAGAGGTGCCGCGCAATGATGTGAATATTTACCCTGAATACATTTTACCGGGTATTGCGCACTTAGCTCAAGATGAAGCCACGCTTGTCAGATTAGCATATGCAGGTAAGAAATAAATTCAAATTACTTGGCTCTTCACGTCATCGTTTCTCAAGATTGGTTCTGATGAACCACCTTTCGCCCATCTGATCTCAGCCCTTAAAATAAAATGTGTAAAGTAAATCTGAAGATAAAAAGTGGCTTGGATAAAATAGACCAAAACATTTCATGTTGTTGTTTGAGGATTAGCTGGTCAGCCTCACTTGTAGAGATCATCACCTCTACTGTCTATATATCCCACAGTCCCTTCACTTCACTCTCTCCCTTGACTCCTTCAAGTCCCGTGCCAAGTCTCTCCAACCTCGCCTCCAGTCACCTTCCTATCTCTTTGCTCCTCCCTGATCCCAACCCTAGGGTCCAAATCCCTGACTGTCCAGACACTTGGGATGTCCTCCTCACCTGAAAGGTGCTATACAAATGTGATTTTGTTTGTTTGCTTGTATATCCTTCAACCTCAGTTGTAATATCACAAGAAGAAAACATCCAGAACACCTTGCTTTTCTGGTATTGGCAATATTGTGGGTGGGGTTGGGGGGGGGGGTGAAAGGATGAATTCTAGAAGCCTATTTTGGTTTCTAAAGATTATTATCTATTTAAGTGAATGTTATTTCCTGAATTGACGGACTTATTTTTTGCATTACTGTGTTTGTACAGAAAACATAGCACTTTTGGCCGAGACTGCCCTTCGATTTCTAGAAATAGTCCAATTGAACAACTTGAACTTGGAAAGTGAACTAAACGGTGAAGAAACCGAGGAAATGTTGCACCCCAATGAAAACTATGATTCAGGTAATTCCCTCTGCATTTCAATTGGCTTTATGCTGTTCCAACCTTATTTGTTGCAGTCAATTTGGAATAACGTTTTAAAGACTACAATTCAGAACTGAGATTGAATCACTTCCTTTGTTTTCAGAGTTGCAAGCCCTCCACGAGATGGTTCAGCAAAAAGTGGTGACTCTGTTGAGTGATCCAGAGAATATCGTGAAGCAAACTCTAATGGAGAATGGCATAACCCGGCTTTGTGTGTTCTTTGGACGTCAAAAGGCTAACGATGTCCTTCTGTCACATATGATCACTTTTTTGAATGACAAGAATGATTGGCATCTTCGAGGTGCTTTCTTTGACAGCATAGTTGGTATGTACTATTCATAATATAATATGGCAGGATGTGATGAGAAAGATCTTTAAGGTTAGAATAGCAGCTATTCGAGAATGACAAGGCAAAACAATGATTTGAAAACTAAATTTCAAACAATTTGAATTTTGTTAAAAGATTTTTCTCATAGTCCTCTACACTTATGATTCAGTAAAATGCAAAAGGTTGAAGCTCTGAATAATCAGAAATTAGTCTGTGCTCAACTGGCTGCTGCGTTCATCTACAAAACACAGAATCAGTCCACTTTACAGTATATCCTGTGAGCGCTTTGAGAAATCTCGACAATGTGATCAGGTCTCTTATTCTTATATTGTACCTCTTCAAATGATTATCCATTTCTTATTTTAATATTATTTAATCCTCAGAAGACCCTTCATTCATTGGATTGTCTTTCAATCCGCTGAATGAAAATGTTTTTCTTTTTAACATCCTTTTTCCCCCCCTTGGCCTCCAATGACAATCCTGAGATTTGCTCCAGTAAAAACATTCTTCTGCCATAAAAAAGTAACATGGTTTTATGGAAAAAAAATCAATTGTAATGAAATACTGTATATGTAACATATGTCACTCACGGCAAATGCAGTTCTGTACTGTCTTGTTTCATAATACTGGCAAAGAAATCCTTTCCACAGGGCAAAGTTAAAATTGCTTCCTTCAATAAAGAATATAGCAATTAATAATTTTAGCTGGATAGGTTCATTCAATGGAATGCAAAACTTTCATTTTTACAAATGTGATAATCTTAAATAGTTTGATAGGAGTTCTGGAGCCTCCATGGTGTGTGTGTGTTTATGTGACAGTAACTACAATTTTCTTGTAACCATATTATGTAACTAGAGCTGAAATTATACAGTTCTTGATTTGGATCAGTCTGGCTTGGACCGTTGGAAATAAAATGCTTCACAGACATGATGCACTTTATTTTAAATGTTCCTGGCAAATACTTTGGAGCTCAAGAAACATTGTTGCTGCTCTGACTAATGCGGTTTTCAGTACTAGCATTCGGAATGCATTCCAATGCAATTGATTGTTTTAAGATTTGGATATCATGTTCTGGGAAATAGTGGAAGAATGAATTTAGAAATTACGCAATCTCTGCAAGTTTGAATCGAGTGTGGAATGTTCAAAAACGGCCAGCGATTTGCCATCTGTATATACATGTATGCAAATGTCTTTGTTGTAGTAATTCTGCTATGATTACACCGTTGCTGCGTACGTCTTTGAATTGCATCTTAAACGTAATTGAATGGTCACACATGCGTCATTGGCGTAACATTTTTCGATCAGTCAAATCCAGATTTGTGCTGAGCCACATGCGTGGCTCACACTCGTTCATGAGGCACACATGTGGCTCAGTACAAATCTGGGGTTGACTGCACTGATTTAGACCATTAACTTGTTTGTGATTCTAATTACTCTGCTTTTGTTTGAAGGAGGAGACTTGACTGTGTGAGGCAGCAGTGACCTCCGCAGCCTTTTTAATTGTTTGATATTTCTTCTCAGAAAACAGTATTTTTAGAATTTTACCTTTTAGGCATTGTTTTGAAGGCTGAAATGCTCAAATAACCATGAGTTCATGCTTTTTCAGGTGTGGCTGCTTATGTTGGTTGGCAGAGCTCATCTATTCTTAAACCACTTCTTCAACAAGGACTGAGTGATGCTGAGGAATTTGTCATCTATAAGGCTCTCAATGCCCTGACCTGCATGTGCCAATTGGGACTTCTACAAAAGCCCCACATCTATGAATTCGCAAGCGATATTGGTAAGATTTGTTTTAAATTTAATTAAGCAACTATTTCACAAATGTACTAGTTTTAACAGAGATTTTGTTTTCCAAGTTAAATCCTCAACAGGTTACTGTCAGTTTCTTCAGTACTGTGGTTAAAAATAAAATAGTATTTACTGAGAAGGATTAGTTGGTTGCCAGAATACAATTTTATGTATTTGTATAATATGCTCATTTTAATCAATGGGAAAATGCTTAAAATCTGCTTTTGGTTATCAGTAAAGTTTGCCTTTTTTATATAATATTGTGCACATCAGGAACTTGGAAATCAACTCATAAGTAAGTTTATACAATTCATGATAAGCTAAGGCGTATGAGAAACCATTAATGAAACTAGGAAATCTGAGTGAAGTTTGAAGCATTAGTGTTGAGTCCTCAGTGGTGATATGAAACTCGCCCACTGTATGTCCCTTTTTCCTTGCCGCAATTAAAATGTTTTATTCCATCGTGCTTGGGATGAAAGTGTGTTGTTAAAATTCTGCTGTTTGGCCAGCAGATGGTGCGGTGTGTATGCTTGTAAAAGTAAATCTGAAGTCAAAAGTGCAACTACAGTATTGTTTTATTTTGAAGCAGAATCCTGTGGAAACATACCTCTACAATTTTTTTTAAAATGCACCAACTAATTATTCACTATTCAGTTGGAGTTATTTACACTACATTGGTAGGTACTCAGAAGAGTTCCAGGTCTAAAATGGGACTTTGAACACTCTCGGCTGACACTCCAACAGATAGAGGAGTATTCTGCTTTGTTGGAGGTGCCATCCTTTGGATGAGATGTTAAATCGAGGTGATACCTGCCTGTTCAAATGAATGTTTAAAAAAAAATTGCGCAATTCGAAAAGAGGTGTTCTGGCCAACATTCCCCCAAATAATACTGGTCAGTCATTTTATTGCCTGGCTATGTGACATTGCTGTTTGCAAAATTGTCAGCCACATTTGCCCACAAAATACAGTCGCTACACGGTAAAATCCTGTAAAAAAATCTTTGAGACATCTCAATGACATAAGGTACTATATCAAATGCAAATATTATTATTACAATATTCTAGAGCTTGTAATCCCCTTTTAATAATACAATAGTATAGTACCTTTCACAATGGGAGCACGTCCCAGATGCTTTACAATTCTGGCTGGGCACTGGAGCTGGGCTGGGGGAGGGGGGTTTAGAGCTAAGAAGAGGGGGTGAGAAGGGGACAGATTTCTGAAAACATTGTCAAAGAAATAACTTTTGAGGCATACCTTGAAAGAGGGGCGAAGGAGGGAGCGAGTTGGAGGGACCTGGGAATGGAGTCCCAGACATTGGGTGCCAAAAGTGTCTGAATACCGGCGCATTGATGGTGGTCAGATGGAGCAAGGCATGTGGAATAAGCCCCTGTTAACTGAGCAGGATTGGTAAGGGTAAAGGGGTTCCAGAGGTAGTGTGGGGTGAGATAATGGTGAGATTAAAATGTGATGACAAGAGTCTTGAACATGATCTGTTGGAAATGGGGAGTCAGGGGAGTTCAGCAAGGATGTGGGTGATAGGCTCGTGGAGATCCCGGAGAGGATACAGCCTAAAGAGATCTGGATAGTCTCGTCACTGGTGCAGGGAAGAGCTGGAGAGGGCGGTAAGCAGAGTGTTGGTATAATCAAGTGTGAACCTAATGGAATGCTCCTGAGGCTTCAGGGAAGAGGTAGTGATGGAGCCATGCAATATTGTGAAGGTGAGGGAAAACTGAGCGAGTGGAGGCACACATGTAGGATTTGAATGACAGTCGGGGCCAAAACAAGACACGTGAGCCAGACTGCCTCGAAAGGGTGGAGTGCGGAACCATGAAGGTTGATGCCGTCAGCACTTGAGGTGTAAAGATGCTGACGAGAGCCTGCGGATGAGGTCGCCCAGTGAGTGGAGATGTAGGGATGGGTAGGAATGAAACCAGGGCAGGACAGAACTGCTGAGGTGTAGCTGAGAGGAGGCAGTGGAAAAGGATACAGTGGTCAATAATGGTTGAGAATAAAGGGGTTAGACAAAGTATTTGGGTTTGTGTCTTTTTAAATTTTTGTGCCACGGAATAGAGAATACATTGTGAAGTGTAACAGAGAGATGTGGTTTGCTGAAGTCGATGGAGAACGTATGTGGAGAAAGAGCACAGCATGTGGTAATATGGTTGATGCTGGTTACTTCAGTGTTTTAAAAGAGGTAACAACACCATTTGCAAAATACAATAACTAAAAAACATATTCTCATATCTGTCAGATGTATCGGCACTGCAACAGTTACCCACAGTAGACGCAGAGAAAGGTCATGTGGAATAAATAAACCACTTGTTGGATCATAACATTCAAAACAACGCACCCAGAGGAATGTGTGAAGTTACAGAGGTTCAAGGAAAAAGATAAAGAAGTCCTTGGCGAAAAGCTGACATTAATAACTTGGCGCCTTGTAGGAATTGGATTATGAAGTTCTCAGGGTTCTGTAAAAAAAATCAAGTTTAGGATAATTTTAGGATATAAGGATGAGATTTTTCCAGTAATCATTGGGAAAATGTAGGGAGAATGTAGGAGCAGAACAGTCAAGAGGGGGAGCTGAGGGGAGCAATACAGTTTGAGAATGTGGGAGCAGAAGTCAAGAGGGAGCAGAACAGTCAGAGAATCCTGATGCTATCCTTACAATTGTTTCGCCTGATAATGTTGTAATAAACCTTGATTTCAACATTCTACGTTGCAAGTACAACTGTTATTCAGCATCAAACTTATAAGCCCTTTGGAAGGAAGCAGGACGAGGTTGACAATATCATGCCGTTCCGTTTGAATGTTACACAGTTTCTCGTGTGTGTGGCAACATGATAGTTCAGCATTAAATTATTGATAGGACTCAAGAATGGTTAGTATGGGGAAATTGCAATTGTGCATTAGTCTGTTTAAAGCTGCAGTAGAGTAGGGGGAGCTTTAATCTACTTTTGATATTAATCTCCTTAATACTGATACTGAATGGAAAAAATCACAGTGTTCCTTTTATGAATAGGTTCTTAAGACTTGAAAAGGTATGTCTGAAGAGAGAGACCTTGTAGAAATATTCAAAACGCCAAAAAGGATTTTTTTAAAAAATGCAACCATCTATATTTTCAGCAATCACCTGCTATCGTCAACCACCCTGGAACATTCTTGATCAATTTTCCATAATAAACATCTGTATTCAGCAACGACCTGTCTTAATAATAATAATAATTGAATTTGATATAGCGCTTTTCACGTCTTCTAGAAGTCTCAAAGCGCTTCACAGAATATATTGTAAAGTGAATTGACTGCATTTTTATGGGGGAAACACGGCAGCCAATTGCGTACAGCAGTGTCCCATAATGTCGTGGATTGAAGTCACCAATTTATTATTTTTTTTCTTGATGGATTATTATCAGGCGCGTGGAGTAAGGAAACTTGCCCAACGCTTTGTCCTACCGGGAATCAAACCCAGGTCTCTTGCTTGTGAGGCGAGTGCTCTAACCACTGAGCTGCAGGACTCCAACTACTTGTTAATGAACCGAGTAGTCACTTTTTTTAGCCCTGTCACACACCGTTTTCAGCAGCCAGTTCTAAGTGAATTCAAGTGTACTTACTGGTAATGCGTTAGCATTTACCATCGTCGTGCTGAGTAGCCCACATGATGCCCACGGCTTCCAACCTCACTGGTGAGTCAGTGTTGGTAAATGCGCTAGGAGTCTAGCCGGGGTCTACATGCGGGCCCGTGGAATTTTTTAAACAAACCAACAAACACTTATTCGGTGGCCACCCTTATATAAAAGCCACTTTAACCAAGTCCCCTGAGTGGTTGTTGAAAACAGTTTTGACTAAACTTAAAATAATAGTTTGAGATGCTCCAAGGCATCTGCACAAGACGATACAAATTCTATATGTGAGAAGGAATTTAGGATAGACACAGAGTATTTACACAGAGCATTTAACAGCTGAAATGTGTTATCCAGATGATGCTAAAGGCCGGATTCCAGTCTTAATTGATTTAAAGGTATTTAGTGGGGACATAATAATCCTTATATTTGTTATATTGCCTTTCCTGTCGGAAGTACATATTAAAGTGGTTCACAGGATTTTCTGTAAGTGTAAGGACCATATTGTGGGGGAACACAGCAACTAATGCGTGCACAGCAATGTCCCATAAATAACCATGATGTGAGCAACATTTTTTTTAATTTGGGGGGATTCTTGGCCAGGACATCAGGAGAAAATTACTTTTCCTTTCAAATAGAGCCAAGGGATCTTTAACAGGTTTTACTGTAAATGTGTTTTGCTGAAGTCTGTTTAGAAACAGCCTGGAGAAAGAGCACAGCATATGGTAATGTAATTGGTACTGATAGCTTCATTTTTTTTTAAAAGACAACATGAATATTTGGCAAATAATGAAAAACAATATCATACCCTTCCACATGCACGCGTAAAATGCACGTGATTAACTAGGTTTGAATCCGGTTCCGGTGGATGGGTGAAAAGGCCTGTCTTTTGGCTATAAGGGTCTGTATCCAACAACAACAACAAATTACATTTGTAGCATCTGGGACACTACCCCGTGTGAGGGGTGCTGTATAAATGCAAGTTGTTGTATGGCACTTTTCATGTCAGAGGACATCACAAGCTGCTGGGATGTCCTCCATTTGACTATATGTAAAATGACACAGAGCCATAATAATAATAATCCTTGCATTTGATATAGCACTTTTCATGTCTTCTAAATGTCTCAAAGCGCTTCACAGAATATACTCTAAAGTGAATTGACTGCATATTTTGTGGGTGAAACGCGGCAACCAATTGCGCGCAACAGTGATCCACAAACAATCGTGGATTGAAGTGACCAATTTATTATTTATTTTTCTTGAGGGATTATTATCAGGCGTGTGGAGTAAGGAAACTTGCCCAAGGTTTCTCCCTGCCGGGAATCGAACCCAGGTCTCTTGCTTGTGAGGCGAGTGTTCTAACCACTGAGCTACAGGACTCCACATAAATATCATAAATATATGTAGAGAGCGTAATGCTTTGAGCAATTGCAGTGAAGTTTATTTTGTGATAGTGTATTCAATGGTATTCTGTTTTTTATCGTTGGCTAAATGCCTTGGATGCACAATTCTATCCCGAATAAGCAGATAGGGCCTTGGTTTAACACCTGATCTGAATGGTTGGCACATCCAACAATGCAGCGTACCCCCAGCACTGACCTAAAGTGTCAGCCAAGACAATATGAGTTCAAGTCCTGACTTGGGGTTAGATTCTGGAAAGTTGACATGAGACGGATAGAATTATTTTCTTCAACAGTACCCCTCTTATGATTAAGATTTTTTTCTTTGAGCAGAACCATTCACCAAAAATAAGAAAAAAAAATCAGAACTGTGGAACATTTAGTTCTGGAGTTAATTGGATTGTCAGTCTGTTGTCCTTGCGGTCTTTTAATAGCCCGAGTCATATTAACAAAAAACAGTTGTTTTATTTAATAGTCATGATGAGATATTTTGTTTTGAAATAATATTTAGTAATGTTACGGTGACCTGGTAACCAACTCAGTGCATTAGAGCAACAACTTGCCTTTATATGGCACCCTTCACGCCAAATAGCGTCTCGGAGCACTTAACAGTGGCGGAGCCCGATGCTGAGCCAGGGTAGGGGGAAGGTGACCATAGACACAGTCAAAGAGGAAGGTCTTTGAGCTCGAGCTGAAAATGGGGAGCGAGGGAGCAAGGCAAAGGGATTGAGGGAGAGGTTACACAGCGTCAGGGTGTAGTGGCCGAAAGCATGGCCGTCAGTGGTGAGGCAGAGGGTCCAGGGGACAAGGAGGAGGCCGGAGCCATTCAAGCGGAAGCAGCAGGTAGTAGTGTAGGGAGAGAGCAGGTTAGAGAGATGCGGTGCCAGGGTGTGAAGGGATTTAAATACAAGAGTGAGGATCTTGAAATCGCTCTATGGAATCCTGCAGCTCAGTGGTTAGAGCTGAAAGCATTACTTATAGAGCATTATGGAGTCCTGTAGCTCAGTGGTTGGAGCACTCGCCTCGCAATTATGAGACTTAGGTTGGATTGGGCAAGTTTCCTGACTCCACACGCCTTTGTTTACCCAGCACTAAGTAGAAACCCAGTTGTTAGTCGATTGGTGGATTGCTTTTCCGGGGGTAATAATTTGTCCAAAAAAAATAATAAATTAGTCATTCAATCTATGATTGTTTGTTGTGCACGATTGGCTGCCGGGTTTTGCCTACAAGATATACAGTCATTTCACTTTACACTATATTCTATGAAGCGTTTGGAGACATCTTGAAGACATGATAAGGCATTATATATCAGATGCAAGGATTATTATTTTGTGATAGTATATTCAATTGTATTCTGCTTTATTATAGCTAAATGCCTTGAATGCACAATTCTAACATTCATATTTAGTTATAATCCAGAGCTTATACCTCCCAATAGTACATAGGATTCCATCAAAGCTGCTTAATTGGTTGATGTGGGTTGGTTAAAAGCAGTTTGGAGTAACTTTCCTTGGGCTTTCTTGCAGTCATTTCTGTTAAATTGATTGTATTTTTTAAACAAACAAAATGTACGCAAATGTGTGACAAATCTAGCTTTGGTTGGACCTCTTTATATAGTCATTGTATCATTTATACCATGATTTTAATGTTCCCACTCACTTTGTGATTTTATTAGCACCATTTTTGTGTCACCCAAATCTCTGGATACGTTATGGAGCTGTAGGATTTATAACTGTGGTGGCACAACATCTGAATATTGCAGATGTCTACTGTAAGCTGATGCCATATCTCCATCCTTTCATCACCCAGCCTATAATACAGGTACAGAAAAAGTAATTTTTTTCTTTATATTGTTGATGGCTTTGTTAATTTTGTCTTTATTGTGAAGGCTAAGGTAGTTTTTCTGTTTCTTTTTTTATTGATCAGTACATTAGTAATTTATTATCTGAGGATCTTAGTTAACTTTAAATTAAGAATTAACTTTAAATCATTTTAGGTTGCGTTTTCATTCTTTTTGGTTATTTGAGATATACTAACAAATCTGATTTATAGCATGTAAAGGTTTTTGACTGAAGTACTGTTGAATTAAAGCATTATCTAATATCAACAATTGAGTTAGTAATTTCTAGCTCTTCATATCTGTGCACATATTGAAGTTGCTTTATTCACTCATGACCACTTGGCATTACTTGTTAGCTGTTGATGGTTTGCCATGAAGTATAGAGCCAAGTTGTGGTTGTATCCCCAAGTGGCTGGTTAGCATTTGCAGTGTTTAACAGCTGGAAGAGATACCGAGCATAGGCTAGTTATTAAATTAATTTAACATATCAGGTCCCAGACACACATTTTCTCTCTCTGGTCTGCCTATTTTGTTGCAATCTTATCCCCCACCCCTCCCACTTTTGTTCTGCAGTATTAACATCTGTATTCCCCTGCTTTGTTGCAATCCCCCACCTTTGTTTTGCATCACTAACACGTCTTTAACCCATCAACCCCTATCCTCTATCCCATTTTCTCCTTTGTCTTCCTTGCCCTGCGTCCATCCTCTCTGTTAGGCCTTAACAGACTCTCCCTCCCAACATGCCCCAGTTCTGACGAAGGGTCGTGGACCCGAAGCATTAACTCACTTTCCTTTCTCCACAGATACTGCCTGACCTGCTGAGTGTTTCCAACAACTGCTGTTTTTGTTTTCTAGTTATTAAATCTTTGAGTTGATTTACCTCCTACAACAACAGCAAAATTACATTTATAGAGCGCCTTTCATGTCAGGAGGACGTCCGAAAGTACTGAATAGTCAGATGTCGGGGCTCAAGGATGGGGGAGGGGTGGTGTAGGGGTGAGGGAAGGCACAGAGGTGGGAGGGAGACCAAAGGCATGGTCGAAGAGAAGCGTCTTGAGACCGGCCTTGAAGGATGGAAGGGAGGAAGCGAGGCGAAGGGACTGTGGGATGGAGTTCCAGAGTGTGGGAGCAGAGAGGCTGAAAGCCCGGCCACTGATCATAAGGCGGGTTGGGCGGGAGGCATGGAGCAGGCCGGAGCCTGATGAACGGAGGGAGCGGGCAGGTTGGTAGAGAGTCAGCAGGTCAGAGAGTTAGGAGGGAGCAAGGCCATGGATGGCCTTAAAGGTGAGGACGAGGATCTTGAACTCGATCCTCTGGGGGATGGGGAGCCAGTGGAGTCGGGCGATGGTGGGAGTGATGGGGTCACGGAGCCTGGTGCATGAGAGTACACGAGCTGCAGAGTTTTGGATGATCTGCAGCTTGTGAAGGGAAGAGTTGGGAAGGCCGATGAGGAGGGAGTTTCAGTAATCGAGCCTTGAGGTGACGAATGCGTGAGTGAGGGTCTCGGCAGCCTGAGGGGTGAGGCAGTGGCGGAGTCTGGCAATGTTGCGGAGGTGGTGGTAGGCAGTGCCGGTCATGGCGCGGATGTGGGGGAGAAAGGACAGTTCAGCGTCAAACAAGACACCCAGGTTCCTGACCGGCTTAGTGAGGTTGAGTGTGCAGCCGTGGAAGCTGATGCTGCCAGCGCTTGAGTGGCGTGAGCCAATCAGGAGGGCCTGGGTCTTGCTGACGTTGAGTTGGAGAAAGTTGGACCTCGTCCAGAACTTGATGTCGGAGAGGCAGTCGGTCAGGACCCCAGTAGTTCTGGAGTTCAGGGCGGAGGCAGAGAGATAGATAGATGGTACTCTGTTGGTTTGGAGACTCTCAAATATGGTGATGGGTTTCCGCATATGTCAGACACTCAGCTAACCAAAAAAAACAGCCTGAGAATTCCACAAATGTATGCCATCTACACATGGAAATTTCCCTGTATCTGGAATAGAATGCACAGATTCTCCCTGGTGGGCTGTATCCTGTTTACCTAATTCCGGAGATTATTAGGTGCAGGTTGGCAAGAGATAAGACTTGGAGACTCTGGAGTGTGTGCTGGGATACTGATGGAATTTAGCCAAACAAAACCATATAGCTTGCCATTGAGAGCACTCTCTGACAAGCTTTCCACTGCTGAATCCAAGTGCTCTGAGATGCGTGAAGTGCGCTATATAAATCCAAGTTGTTGTTGTTGTCCAGCTAGGATCACCTGTTAGGGCTTTGCCTTTCAGGGTTAACAGGAGCCGTTTACTCAGCATTGTTGTCTAGAATTTGGCGCATTTTTAAATTTGTTGATTTTCTATGTACTTAAATTTTACTTCAATTTGATTTCTGCGGCGAATTGGCTAACCTTGAATGTAACGAGACAGTTTAAAATATAAATGACTAAATACATTTTTATATCAGTTGCACAGAGTTTTCATGGAGTTATTTTTTTTGAATGCTTTCAGATAGATAAAGAAATCGTGTTGCTGAGTGTTCTCAAAGAGCCTATCAATCGCTCTATATTTGATTATGTGTTACGGACGAAGGATATAATGACCCTCTACAGGCACTTACATCTCCGCCAAAAAATACGTAATGGACTAATTTTAGAATGCCCAGGCCCAGAGGATCCAGTTATTGCACAGCTGTTAAAGAAACTACTTTCTCAGGTAATGGCAATTGTAACACTGTAACACTGTAACATTGTCATTCTTAACTGTATTATGAGTTGTGCTAAAGTGTTATTGCTAAATTGCAGATCCTTTGAGACAAGTCATCAAACCACATTGAGCTTCTTGGGATTTGTTTCTTGCTATCTCTTCTCTCACTCTCAAAAAGTACCAAAGTATGTTTGATTTGCAGGGAGAATAATAACAATCCAAATTTGGTTACAATTATTAACATGTAATATTAAGAATAAGGCCTAAATAGACTCACATGAGAAATAATTGAAATTAAAAGACTGCAATTATTATATTCTGTGGTAATTCATGAAATCCTTTCTTTACATTGCTTCAATTGGATTACTGTGCTGATTTTGGGCTGTTCTTTCACAATCTTTACTAATATCATAATAATCCTTGCATTTGATATAGCACCTTGTCACGTCTTCGCGACGTCTCAAAGTGCTTCACAGAATATATTGTAAAGTGAATTGACTGTAATTGTGTGGGCGAAACGCAGCAGCCAATTGCGCACAGCAGTGTCCCACAAACAGTGGTGGATTGCATGACTATTATTTATTTTTTGAAGAGATTATTACCCTCAGAAAAGCGATCCCCCAATCGACTAATAACCGGGTTCCTATTATTGCTGGTGAGCAGAGGCATGTGGAGTAAGGAAACTTGCCCAAAGTTTTGCCCTGCCTGGAAATTGAACCCAAGTCCTCTCGCTTGTGAAGCGAGTGCTCTAACCACTGAGCTATAGGACTCTACTCACATGAAATGTCTTGATCTAAGAGAGCCGTTTTTATTAAATCTTGTCAGTTAACTAAGAAATGTAGGCAATTGACAAAGGTTTACTACATTCTAGCTGTCCAGGAAAAGTTTCACAAACTGGTCTACAATATTCTTTATCTTGGTGGGTAGAGAAGAAAGTTGTAATTTTCTCCCTCTCCACTTGAGGCAATGTGTATCATACAGATGGTAAGACACAAAAAGGATGTGCTCTTTTGTCATGTGGTTTGAGTTTAGTTTCTAATTCAGGAAAAATTAGAGCAAATTCTGATGGAGGAAGGAATAACTTACATGAGAGAAAAGGCAATAAGGGAATACAGGGGAATGGAAGAGAGGATAAGGAGGAGTGATATCTCATGTGGAGTACAAATTCAACCTCCTGAACTTGAGGGAATACAAACCAAGTTTTTCTATCCTTTCATCATAACTTAGGCCCTCGACTCCAGGAATCAGTCAAATAAATCTATGCTGCACACTCTCTTAAGGTCGATATATCCTTCCTCAGATTTGGTGTTCAAAAGTGCACACATAAAACATTGATCTGTCTACAACAAGACAGACTTTGGAGTTGGCATTAGAATAATAAAATATAGTTGCATCACTGAAGCTGTTTCATTTACTGAATCTGCTTTGTCAATTACTAGAGGCTACATTACAACAAAAAACTTCACTCTTTCATATTAAAGAGCTATGCAAAATTGCATCTGTCAAAATTAATGTATTCTTCTCAACTTTTACTAAATACTATCTTAAATTCACTTCATAATACAAAAAGTAACTCATGTTTTACTTGTAACTAATTGGGCATTTATTATTCTTCATGGAAGAGGAACACACGTGTACTTCAGTCTTAATTGTGGTGAAACAATTGCTGACTTTAGACTATTACGTTAAAAAAAAGGATTGTTGGAAGGAATTCGTGCCAAATGGCTTATTGCTTTTATGCAGGGGATGACTGAATCAGATGAAGACAAACTTCTAGCTCTGAAAGATTTCATGCTGAAGTCGAACAAAGCCAAAGCTAATGTGGTGGACCAGAGCCACATAAGTGACAACAGTCAGACTGGAGTAATTGATCTGACGGCCCTGGGAATCCCTGGCAGACAGATTGATCTTGTTAAAGCAAAACAGGAAAATGATGACAAACGAGGTAGGTGACCTTTTTTTATTATTATTATTATTATTTGGTTATAGTAACCCATATGTTTATTTGGCCATTGAAAATAACAGAGAAATTGTCTTTTAAATTCAGTATATATAATCTGTGCTTGTTCTATTCAGAACTAGAAAGAAACCATAGCATACTGAACATGAGCTGTGAACTGTTGTGATGGCCCTCGATACAGATACAGTAGAGAGCCCATAAATCTGCACTAATTGGGACTAGCCCTTTTGTGGATAAGCAGCTGATTGGAAAATATGTATTGTTTTCAGTGCTAATTAAACAAATTGTTCAGTCAGGAGGTATGTTGTCGCTGGAGCTTAAGCTTCTAACTAGCCCTAGGATCTAGGATCACAATATTGCTGGTTGGCGTCAGAGGTTCCCTTGCATCCTAACAAGTAACCGCACATATTTGCAACACAAGTTTTAGCCAGTATGTTGTAGCCTTACATCAAATTTTGATACAGGTAAATGGACATGTGAGTAATTGATAATATGCATTACGTTTCCGAAAAGAAATAAGCAGTATTAAAATGTCAATCAAATAATCGCATTGTTTTTCTGCAATTCTAAAATCATCATCTTGCTAGTTATGTATTTTTAGCTTTGCTTGGCCCTGAATCATTACACCTAGTCTGTTTTGGATTATTTAAGTCTTCATAGTGTGTAAACATAGGGAATTAGCCAGAATATGTTTTTGAATGAGGCAGACTGAACCCTCTTAAAATAATTGGGATTCAAGTTAACTTTTACCTAATAAGTAACTTAGGGATCTGTTTTCATGTTTTGTGATCCACTTTCAGCAAGAAGACATGTGAAGCAAGATTCAAACTTAAACGAAGAATGGAAAAGTATGTTTGGTTCTCTTGAGCCTTCAAACATTGTACCGTCATTGTCTAAAGTGCTTGTAGCCCCTGGAGAACAGGAAGGTGGTCAGGGGAAGAATCTTCGTTCAGAATCTTCACCAGGAATAATGATCACCGGCAGCACAGCAGTGCCGCAGGTAACAACTTCAGCATTTAATTAATGGAGGAATAATTCTGCTTTTTTATTTCTGCTCTGGTATTTATTTCCCTTGAATCACATTAATCTTGCTTCTTTACAATAAGAACAGTTTTCTCAGCTCACAACAGCTTTTATGGATTATGGATGAAATTGTTGAATCAGTGCCATCTCAATCTCAGTCTGGCTCAGTTTGTAGCATCCTCACATCTGAAGCAGAAGGCTCAGGGTTCAGGCCCCACATGAGACATGAACTCATAGAATAGGTTGACTCTCCGATATAGTGCTGGGGTGCACTACACTGATGAAGCTGCTGTACTTCGGATGCGGCGTTAAACCGAGGTCCCCTCTGCACGTTCAGGTGGATGATAAAGATCCCGTAGCACAATTTGAAAAGAGTTTCTCTTGATGTCCTGGCCAACAATTCTCCGAATAAAATTGGTGATTCACTTCATGACTATTTGTGGGACAATGCTGTGTGCAAATTAGCTGCCACATTTGCCTACAAAATGCAGTTTCAATACTTTACAGTATATCAGGTGAAGTATTTTAAGCTGCCCACTGACATGAAAATCACTATATTAAATGTTATAATTAGTTTATAGTTAAAGGATAGTTTGTGCTGTTGACTCCTGTTTACTACACATTGAGTTAAAGGCATCAAAAACATTTCACAGAAACAGGAATAGACCTGTAGAGCCTGCTCCATTGTTTTATTAGATTATTGAGAAGCTGTTTAAACTTCAATTTTTTCAATCCCATTTATCTGCCTTTTCTTCATTTTCTTAAATTTCTAGTTTAAATATCTGAATTGATTCGATCTCTGCAGCTTTCTTGCAAAGCATTCCACATTCCTAAAACCCTTTGTGTGATGAGATGTTTTTACTGTAAATTTTAAGATTTGGATATCTAACAGATGCTATGCAATTATTCCATCATAACTTTTGGAAAACTTTGCTTGGAGAGATTTATTTTACATGAAAGATGTTTTATAAATGTCATGTGTTGGCAAATATTATGTTTTCCTTAACTAATTCTAAAAGGTATCCGAAGGAACTGTGGTCCTAACAAGGAAACCAATGTCTTCCATGCCAATATTGCAAACTGGAAATGTTCCAACATTGCCCTCTTCATATCAGAGACGCATTACCACGTGTGGGACTGATCTTCATCACTTGATTCAGCAGAAGCGAGAGCAATGCAGTGCTGAGCGAATGGCAAAGCAGTTAATGGAAAGCGCTGAATGGGAAAGCAAGCCTCCACCGCCAGGTAGTACACCAGAATCTTTATTGGTAGAATTTGCATTAGCCTCTAGTGCTGTGACTGAATACCTAGGCTTGCTGGCTCTTGAAGGGGGAGAGGAAGGGGAAAATAAATTACACCTTTGTTCTAAAATAGATGGTGGGACATGGAAGAAACATGATAATAATAATAATCCTTGCATTTGATATAGCACCTTATCACAACTTTGAGCCGGCTCAAAATAAGCAAATTGAGTTTAATATTTAAAACTGTTGAAACCGTTAGGCAAGAGATGGGTACAAAATCATTTTAATAGAATTAATTTAAAAACGAGAATACAGAAGTAAAAGATGACAAAGAGATGCACACAGGCAGTTTGTAAAATGCTTTTTGGTCCTTGAAGTTAGATTTCACATTATGGGAATATTGTTATCCTAATGTTTAAGTCATTAAGAAAATATGTTTTGGATTTCATCTTAATACACGAGCTGAACTTTACAGAACCGGCAATCCTATGGAGACTGATAGAGGCTGGAATCTCATTAGACCAGCAAAAGTAATGCACAAATAATGTTGTGGCATTACTACTGGATCGAGGCCATGCTGAAATGTGTCAGGAATGAACATAGCCAAGTACTCAAATTTGTGTTTGTACAACAGATCGTTGTTCATGACGATCTTGTTCCCAAGTACTGTATTACATTTTACTGCAGTGTAGTGTAATTAAAAGCGTCAAAGTATTGAAAATTTCAGTAGCCTTTCAAAAGTATTAAACCCTTCTCAGTGCAAATGTAGTTTCCTGCTTGCCAGAAATAACCACATTAGTATACTTAGGAAATCCTGCATATGATAACATGGGTGGTATAGCATGTAAACAGACTATTTGGCCCAATTAGGTTGTGCTGGTGTTTATACTCCACATGAGCCTCCACCCCTCCTGATCCCTTCTCCCATATCCATCTATTCCCTTGAAAATTCTCCAGTTAGTTTGGCACTCCTGGACTCACAATTTAATGGGGTCCTAACATTTATCGTGTCTTATGAGAGCTGCCTATACAACTTCATTTAAAGAAGTTTCATTTTAGACATGCAATGAAAAAAGATTATGATTTTGATTAGTAACAGATTTTATTAATTGGTATTTAGATCTTCTGAAGTTGTCATTGCAATTTTCTGCTGGAGTAAATGACTGACCTTGGCCTATAATAATAATAATAATAATAATAATAATAATCCTTGCATCCTTGCATTTGATATAGTGCCTTATCAATTCTTTGAGACATCTCAAAGTGCTTCACAGAACTTACTGTAAAGTGAATTGACTGCAAATTTTGTAGGAGAAATGTGGCAGCGAATTACACACAGCAGTGTCCCACAAACAGTCATGGATAGAGTGACAAAATTATTATCTAAACATTTTTTTAAAGAGATTATTACCCCAGGAATGCGATCCGTCAATCGACTAACAACCGGATTCCTTCTTACTGCTTGGTAAACAGAGGTGTGTGGAGTAAGGAAACTTGCCCAATGTTTCGTCCTTGGCCTATGGTACTAATAATAATGCATTACTGATCTACACTCTCTTTCTAGGGTGGCATCCTAAAGGGCTTTTAGTTGCTCATCTTCATGAACACAAATCAGCAGTCAACCGGATCCGGGTTTCTGATGAACATTCTATCTTTGCGACCTGCTCAAATGATGGGACTGTGAAAATCTGGGATAGTCAGAAGATGGAGGGAAAGACTACAACTACCAGGTACAGTGTGATTACAATTCTCTGATGCTGTTTTACAGTCCAAACTTTAGAATTTAATTTTTTCTTCATGGTGATCATAAATTGATGCTGTGATGGAAAGAGATTGTAGGGAGGATGAAATAAAATGAGCCAAAGAGCATTCTTCTTCCAAACCGACCTTGTGATAAATGACTTAAAGAGCTTTCATTTTTGTAGGACCTTATGTCAAAATGTACGAGAGCTTCACAGTAATCAGTAACTGGGATTTACAAAACTAGGCTGACACTCCACTGCATGGCAGGATGTGGGATGCTTTGTCAGAAGTGCCATCCTTTGAATGAGACGTTAAATTGAGATCCTGTCTACCTGTTCAGGTGGATGTTACAGATTCTGTTGCATTATTTGAAGCAAAGGAAGCTTCTCCCAGTGTCCTGGCTAACGTTGGGATTTCCATGTGTAGGCGAGATGCATGGAAATTTCAGCTTGGTTTGGAGGCATGGTGATGGGGTTCTGCTGACCAAACAAAATTATTACATTTTTAAAAAATTGTTGGGTGACAATAACGAATATTACATTTTAAATATAAAACATGATTTATTATTATTGTTTTTTTTGAAGGGATATGTAAATAAGGGGGACCTAGCCAGGGGAAGGGGGCAGCCTGGGGGTGATGGGGTAGGGTGAGTGGGAGCAGAGAAAGCTGTGAGCCTGGAGGGGGGCTTGGCCTTTCACATTGGGAGGACATCTAAAAGTGCATCATGAAGTGACAGTGTATTTTGTAGGCAAACACATCACCTTGGAGGAGATCACATTTACTTGCCACCAAGGATTTCTATGATTTGCTCGGCACTGGTTTATGGAGAGGAGACTTGGCTCACTTCAGGGACTAGATTTGTATTTATTACTGAATATTTGAAAAAGATTGTATTGTTAATTCTCTGACTCTTGCCATCTCTCCATTTATAGTTTGAATGTGGTTACATATTTTTTCTTAATCACTTTTTTGTACATATAGATCAATCTTGACTTATTCTCGTATTGGAGGGAAAATCAAAACTCTGACCTTCTGCCAGGGCTCCCACTATCTCGCTGTAGCTTCAGACAATGGAACTGTCCAGCTTCTGGCAATTGAAGCAAGCAAACCACCCAAATCTCCCAAGATACATTCACTGCAGAGCAGGTACAGCACTCTCCGAATCAGAATGTTAATATTACTCATGTCAGTGTAGTTTTTGTTTTTAACTCTTCATAGAAGGCTTGTCTGAGCTAACCCGTTTATGTATCAGATTTTACTGTAATTCATGAGTGGGTATTTATATTCCCATGTTCTGGTTGACTTTTTTTAAAGCGTTGAATGTGCGATGGTATAACATCTAACTTCTATTAATAATGTATATATTTTAATTCTGCATTTTGTATGAAAAGCATCATTTTTTTCCACAAGCATAACAACAACAACTTGCACTTATATAGCGTCTCCACGCAGGTTAATGTCTCAGAGTGCTCAAATATTTACAGTGAAACTAACCCAATTTATACTGCATAAATTCAACAGCTGTTGTTCCCAAAAAATACTTTTTCTTTGGTATTGCTGTAGTTTCCAAAGACTCTTGTCTAACACTGCTGTTTAAGTATATTTACGCGATTTTTCAAGCAACTCTTCTATCAGCTGTCAATATCACAAATAGCAATATCATTCATGTATAATTTTGCTGAATACTACTGAATTTGTGTGTGTGTACCTGTATTTGATTGGTCCAGATCAGATTTCACAAGTTCTGCTGCCTTAGATGCTGTTAGCTCTTCCAATTTAGAAAGTAGGACCAGAGCTGAAGAATCTGTGTTTGCACAACATATGAATGCTGCATACATATAATTTCACTCCCTGAAAAATTCAGGCTCCGAGGTTATAAGCAATGGTTTCTTCATGACTATTGTAATTGTGGACTTTATAATGGCCTCCAATATTTTATGGACACATTCCAGCTTTTGTTGACAAAATAGAAGCATAGCATGTTTATGGTATCTTTAAAAGTTTTTAACCATAAGGAATAAGCTAACCATTGTATTTCTTTCACATATTATTCAATCATTCTATTTTATCTTTTAAGGATTTTGGACCTGAAGGATGATGGCTGTGTAGTGGATATTCATCATTTTAATTCAGGTGCTCAGTCTGTCTTAGCATATGCAACCGTAAATGGCTCTTTAGTTGGTTGGGACCTGAGGTCTTCGACAAATGCCTGGGTGCTAAAGCATGATTTGAGACTTGGGCTCATCACCTCATTTGCTGTAGATATACATCAGTGCTGGTTATGCATAGGTAAGTGTTTTATGTTGCAAGCTCCTGAGTCTGTTTGCCTAATTAATATTGTTTGGCGAAAGTAATGCGTTTTAATAATGTTTAGGTGGATAAAAATAACAATCTTTTGATCAACTGTAAATAACCACCTGGAAATATTGTTCTTTTGAGGGGGGTAAAATGCAACCTTTTACAGAAAACCTTTTCATTAAAGGTACAAGTAATGGAACAATGGCTTGCTGGGACATGAGATTTCAACTTCCAATATCGAGTCATTGTCACCCAGCAAGAGCTCGTATCAGACGTCTACTAATGCATCCCCTCAGACCGTCCTGGGTCATTGCAGGTAATTTTGAATGCAGAATTCAAGCTATGTTTTTCTTAAACAATTGATCTTTTGATAAAAGAAGAATGTATTGAACAAGAAATGGTTATTCAGTATATCGCAAATCATAATCAATCTTCTGTACGATGGACTCGATTGCATGCTTGGAGTCCTGTAGCGTAGTGGATAGTGCACTCACCTAACAAGTGAGAGGACCTGGGTTTGATTCACGGGCAGGGTGAAACCTTGGGCAAGTTTCCTTACTCCACAAGCCTCTGTTTACCAAGCAGTAAGTAGGAACCTGGTTGTTAGTCGACTGGCGGATCACTATCCCGGAGTAATAAAATAATTTGGTCACTTGATCCATGACTATTTGTAGGACACTGCCGTGCGCAATTGACTGCTGTGGCCCATAAAATATAAAGCCAATTCACTTTACTGTTTATTCTGTGAAGCACTTTGAAATGGTGATATGGTGCTGTATCAAATACAAGGTTTTTTATTTTTTAATCTCCTGGTAAAAGTTTTGTATTGATATAGCCTGATGTGCATGTTTGTCTGCATATTTTATCAATAGTCATCCCATTCTTACATCTACTGTTCAGCTTGAATGAATTGCGTCCCAATACACAGCATATCTCTCCTACTGTGGAAAAAATGAGCTGCTTAGTCGATGGGTGGATAGACTGCCCTACTCAAATGCATTGATCTCATTTTCTGCATGTGTTTTGTCATTCCTGTTCAGCTGCTCAGGGAAACAATGAGGTGTCGATGTGGGATATGGAAACTGGAGACCGGCGTTTTACTCTCTGGGCAAGCAGTGCTCCACCATTATCTGAAATGCAGGTTTGTGGGCCTTTTAAAGTTTTTTTAATCAGAAGACCATAATTTTGCAGATTGCTACCATCATTGAAACTTTTTTTTCCTGCCCTGAGAAAATTGAGGTGAAAATGGTTTACTTTTCTTTAAAAAAGGAGTTTAGGAGGTTTTTTTTATTGCAGAGGGTGGTGAGAATGTGAAACTCACTGACATTCGCAGTGATTGAAGCAAAAAATATCAATGTATTTAAGAGAAAACTTGATGCATACATAAGGGGAAAGGGAATAGAGTGATATAGGAGAGGGCATTACAAACCTTGACATGGACTAGATGGGCCAGATGACCCATTTCTGTGCTGTATTATTATATATCATTCTTTCTCATCCCTCTGGAGACTCAACACTTATCAGTGTTGAGTCAATATTTCAGTATTTGTATGTGACTGCTCTCCCAGTTGACACCCAGGAAAAGATACCTATCTGTGTTTCTTATGGAGCTTCTTACCAATTAGTCTTGTAGCTAATTTTAGCTGAGCAGTTCCTTTTTATCCCGTATGAGTATGGTGATCTGAAACGGTAGGTCTTTGTGGGTGATGAAAAACAAACTCCAAGCTTTTAAACTTGTAATTTTGCCTTAAAAGTAAGAAATCTTCTCCCTCATCTCTACTCAATTTCAATGCTTCACATTCCTTCACTTCATTACAACAACAAAATTACATTTATATAGCGCCTTTCGCGTGGGAGGACGTTCCAAGGCGCTGGACAGTCAGTGTTTCGGACCTAAGCTGGGGGTCAGGATTGGGGAGGGTGGAGGGCAGGGGGAAGGAGGGTGATCGAAAGCACAGTCGAAGAGGAGGGTCTTCAGATGGGTCTTGAATGAGGCAAGGGAGGGGGTGCGAGGCGGAGGGACTGCGGCATGAAGTCCCTGAGGGTGGGGGCAGTGTGGCTGAAGGCCCGCCCGCCCACCAATGGTGGGGATGGCAAAGCGGGGGACATGAAGCAGGCCAGAGCCTGCTGAGTGGAGCGAACCATGGAGAGCTTTGAAGGTGAGGACCAGGATCTTGAACTGTATCCTCTGTGTGATGGGAAGCCAGTGGAGTCAGGTGAGGATGGGGGTTATAGGGTCATGGAGCCTGGTGTGGGAGAGGACACAGGCTGCAGAGTTCTGGGTGATCTGCATCTTGTGGAGGGAGGAGTTCAGGAGGGCGACCAGCATGGAGTTACTACAATGGGTTGTCTCTTGCATGTGCTAAAATATTCCACAGCACTGAATTTTATAGAGATTGCCTTTCTGTGTTGGAATGTTAGAGGAAGCTAAAGGTCTAACTGAATTATGTTTTATTCATTGTTGCATTATTTTATTTAATGCGCAGCCTTCAGCTCATAGTGTACATGGATTATACTGCAGTCCAGCAGATGGAAACCCTTTACTACTGACTGCTGGCTCAGACATGAGGATAAGGTAATGAAATTACTGACTAGAATCTGGATGTAAGGAGGTTTATTTGGTGCTGCTCAAAATACCCGTTTTCTATTTTAAATGGCTTGCCATATAGTATTGACAGTTCTGTCTGGTGCTGATTATGTTATCTTGTGAAGTGTTTACTAGTTTCATATTTTGTACGTTTCATCTCAATTGTATTCAGGCATTTTTGTCAATTTATTTGTAGGTCTTTTACTCTGATGATTTGAGTACTCCTGAATTTTAAGGCCAATTTATTTCTAACTTAGGACATCTCAAAGCACTTAACAGAACTTACTAGGCACCTGAATCTGGGGTGGAGGGAGAGAAGCACAGTCATGGAGGAAGTGGGCTTTGGAGGGGGAAGAGTCTGAGTGACTCAGATACAGTTCAAGAGCAGGGGCAGGCAGAATGTCTGAAAGCTGATTCATTTCCCTTTTTGAATGTGGAACACCATGTTAAACTTCTACACGGTTTGTATTTAATTTGTATCTACTTCTATGAAAAATATTTTATTCATGTATGGTGAATTTCCCTTAGGATTTTCTTCTGGATGAATTGGATAATAATAATAATAATAATCCTTACATTTGATATAGCGCTTTTCACGTCGGGAGGATGTCCCAAAGCGCTTCACAGAATATACTGTAAAGTGAATTGACTGTATATTTGTGGGCGAACGCGGCAGCCAATTGCGCACAGCAATGTCCCACAAACAGTCGTGGATTGGAAATGACCAATTTATTATTGTTTTGGAGGGATTATTATTAGGCTCTGTGTGGAGTAAGGAAACTTGCCCAAGGTTTCGCCCTGACCTGCCTGGAATTGAACTCAAGTCTCTCACTTGCAAAGCGAGTGCTCTAACCACTGAACTACAGCTTGCTAAGTCATTTTATGTTTGAATCAGAACATTTATAGACTAAGTTTTTTAATTAGTATTCCTTATTAATGCATCTGATCCAAGCCCCTTCCACCTTGACATGTTAACAAAGTCCTGGACTACTATAGAGTTAGATCGGAAGAGTAAGCACATTTTGAAATCCATTTAGTCACTGACGATACAGATCATCCAGACTGATGCTATCTTTAGGGATCTTGCTGACCTTATAGTCAATGGCTAAATGCATTTCAATATAATCTATAGTAGTCTAGGACTTTATTGGATCACTGATCATTCTACAACTAATTTGTTTCAGCTACTATGCCCCGAATCTCTGGAACTCCTTGCCTCAATCCTTCCATTTGCCCCCTCTTTGCCCATCTTCAAGTCTCACCTGAAGATTTTCCTCTTCGATCGTGCCTTTGGTCCCCTCCCCGCTCGGCATCAAGCCTCGCCACTGTCAAGCACTTCAAGACACCTCCCGCATTATATAAATGCAAGTTGTTGTAGTGGGTGTTGATTGTTGATAAGTAAAGGTGGATGGAGCATGGACCTGAGGCTGAAGGAGGGAACGTTCTGTTTCGTTACCTGAACCTCAGCATTGATGAGGTCATCGTCTGGTTAAGAGGTTTAGCAACCACAGGAAAATTAAAATAGAAAACTTTTTTTAAAAAAAGTTTGAATCTTTTTACATGCAAATAAATATACAGCTTTATTTTTAAATGCTTTTTTTATTAGATAAAATAAGTTGCAGCTGAGCAGTTGATGAGTCTTTGGATAATTACTGAGGTGATAAACAATATGATTATTATTAGTTTCCCTATCTTATTTCCTGCATTACCAGGATTATATTATCTTGCTCATCTGGAAAACCTTCAGTTGTTCTCCCTGAAATGTTTTTATAATGTGATGTAGTGTAATGTTTTAATGTGTGGCTTGAATCCATTTCTCGAATATCTTATTTATTCTGGTCTTCCAGATGTGAATCTTATTTAGTGCTTGCTTAAAGTTCTTTCCTCACAACTGCTAGTTTCGCTCAGCGACCTTGTGAATAGCTGTTTTGCATATAAATTGCGTATAAAATCTTCCAAGGACGTTCCCTTCTATCAGATCTTATTGGCAGATGGACACGCTACCCAAGTGTGCCTGATAATGGAGAAATTTTGGCTACCGCTAACTTTAATCATCAACTCTGCAGTGGGAATTGGAGGAAAGAAATACGATATATTTGAGCTAACAGAATTACACAATCTTTATACTGTTGTTCATGTGCTTGTGCATACATCTGTTAGTTTAGTTAGTTAATGAGAATATGTTCATACTTTTCTGTCAATTCTGCAAAAGGTCATGCTTCTGAAAAACTTACCAATTTGCAAAGCTTTACTTCAGCCCTCTTAATCCACATCAACTAACATAAAAATATTTTAGACTTTTAGAAACTTTACTTTTTATTACCTTTAAACCGTTTTAAGATTTCTGACCATATGTTCTCTGCCACAGGTTCTGGGATCTAGTCTACCCAGGGCGATCTTACATTGTAACAGGAGGTGCTAATGATGCTCTACATTGCCCATCGGTTTCATATTCTGGAAAGATAATTGAAGGAACTGAGGTTGTACAGGTAGGTAGGAGCCATTTTATTTTAACTTTTTTCATTGGAAGTAAGTCTGCACAACTCTTGAACAACAATAAAAGTTTACTTGGCATTTCTTCCGTCTAGAGGACGTTTCAGTGTACTTCAGACCAATGATTGGGAGCCTAATTTTGGGGGTGGGGTGGGGGGAGAAGTCAGCTACAGAGAGGAAAGATGGCCAAAGGCACAATCAAAGAGAGGTTTTGTTGGTGGAGGGACTCTGGAATGGAGTTCCAGAGATTAGGTGCAGAATCTGAAAGCTCACTCATCAGTGGGGAGGGAGAACAAGAGCAGCCGGGGCAATAAGCTCGTAGAAATAAAGGGGGATGAGGCAAATGAACATTTGAACGTGGGGATGATAATCTGTAACTTGATGCCTTGGGGGATAAGTAGCCAGTGGGGCCAGTGCAGGGGATGTGGATTGATGGGTTTATGGAGCCTGACCCTAATGCGGAGGAGGACACGGGCTGCAGAGATCTGGATGGTGTACAGCTTGTGTAAGGAGAAGCTGGGGAGTTCAGTGAACAGGTCATTCGAATCATTGAGCCTGGAGGTGATGAAAGTGTGAATGAGGATAACGGCGGCCTGTGGGGAAAATTAGTAGCAAAGGCGAGGGATGTTGCAGAGGTGAAGGAAAGCAGAGCGAGAGCAAGTACAAGCTGTAGCTGTAGCCACTGTACATTGCAGAATATTCAACATAGTTTACACGAATAATGTATTTATAATAATGTATTTATAATAATTTTTTAAAACGATAACCACAACAATTTTAAACAATTCCAAGCTGCTTTATTTTTTGTTTCTAGAATTACTTTCAGATGCTGCTACTTATGTACATTAACTCCATCGTGAAATATCTGGTTTGCGTTTTGAAACCTTTACGCTTTATTGGTTAATAAACCTTTTTAATCTATTAAATTCTTGCTATTTTTCTTAAAGGAAATTCACAGCAAACAGAAAGTTGGATCGTCAGAGGATGTGCCTCGTCGAGGTCCTGAGTCTCTTCCAGTGGGACACCATGATATTATCACGGATCTTGCTGCTTTCCAAACTACCCAAGGTTTCATTGTGACTGCGTCACGAGATGGGATTGTCAAAGTATGGAAGTAATGGTTACACTGAGAATGTCAACAGCTAAACTGTATTCTTGTTGAAAGCAAATCTTTACTGATGGAATTGTCAACATCTACACATTGCACATAGGTATTACATAGGGATGCTTTTACGATTGGATGAAGGCAATCTATTAACAGAATTTGTTTTCTTGTTGTGGCATGCTATTTTTATATTTCAATAAGATTAAAACTTCCATAACCTCCTGACCTGAATAGTTGTAGTAAATGAGATCACAGAATGCTTTTCAGCAGAATGCTGAAAAAGCCCGTGGCTGGTGTTACTAAATGTAGCTCACAAACCTGGGATTAATGCTACCCCTGTCCAGGTGTACTATAAATGTATCCGAGATATTACTTGTGTCCAAAATGTTCAGAGTTAATTTATATACCGTCATGAGTTCAAGTAATTTGAATTGTTTTGGAGCATTAAAAGCAAAGTCATTTAATTAATTATAACTTTAAACTTATATAATTAACTGATACTCCAATGTAGTGAGGGGGTGCCTTGCATTGTTGCCGGTGTTGTCTTCAGCTGAGACATTACATTGAGGTCCTGTCTGTCTGTTCAGTGGACATTAAAGGCTCCATGGCACTATTCAAAAGGAAAAGTGGGTTTCTCCTGGTGTCTTGGTCAACAATGCCCTGGATCATTGAATAACACAATTCTATCCTAGAGGATACCAAGCCTTCAACATGGGTGTAAGTACCGGGATTGTATTTTGCAGTGGAAAGAAGTTGTTTCTATTAAACACACATTGTGGAGTCCTGTAGCTCAGTGGTTAGAGCACTCGCCTTGCAAGCCAGAGACCTGGGTTTAATTCCCAGCAGGGTGAAACCTTGGGCAAGTTTCCTTACTCCACACGCCTGATAATAATCCCTCAAGAAAATCAAAACAATAAAATTGGTAACTTCAATCCATGACTGTTTGTGGGACACTGCTGTGCACAATTGGCTGCCGCGTTTCGCCCACAAATATACAGTCAATTCACTTTACAGTATATTGTGTGAAGCGCTTTGAGACATCTAGAAGATGTGAAAAGTGCAATATCAAATGCAAGGATTATTATTATATCAAGTCCTTGCCCGAGGAGCACCTTTATCGGTTTGTTTCATAATTAAATTTGTAATTTTTTATGTGAAGATCTTCATTTGTCCATTTTATGTTGCTGAGACCAAAGTGATGAGAGAAAGGTGATCCCCTCGAAGGGTATAGACCACTCAGGAGAAATTCCACCTTGATCTAGACTCAATCATTTACATAGCGTTTCAGAGAGTCCAGAATTTGGCATTTCTAATTTAGTCTTAATTTTGAAACCAGTTTTCCGTAAGTTCATTAAGAACTGCGGGAAACTAGCTTCAAAGTTGACTGAATTGTTGACTTCAACAATTTGTCAAATTTTTGATGCACTGAAATGTGAATGAGTAAATCTATACCAGGTGGAATTTCGCCCTAAATATCGTTGGTATTGGTATTTTCGGCCTTTTATTTTCCATTGGTAAAAAGTTATCAACTTTTTCAACAAAAAATCTTATGGTGAATGCTTCATCAAATTATTACCTTTGCATCATTACATTCTGTTGTCATTGATAGCCATGGCCATTCTTTCATATATAAAAATAAGATGTAGCTCAGTGATTGTCAGGGATTTCTCTCCCCCATGCTAATTTGTCATTAAATGCCACTTACTGCTGCAAAATGCTAAATAATAATTCAGCTGTTCTGTGTTATTTATCATTTGGGCAGTGGAATTATGGTGAGCTTCGCCCTCTAATGTAATTAAAGTACTATATATTGTATGAGTTCTATGAATATCTGACATTCTCACAAATGATCGGATGTACGTTATGGAATATACAAGGATCCTGGGAGCTGTATTTGCAGAGTAAAGTAATAGTAAACTGTTGGAATAGAGCATAAAATAATCACCCTATTTGTGAGAGCATTCCCTTATTTGGTAAAGGTGCAGGAATCTTGCACACAGATTTTTGTCAATGAGAATTATTATTTATTAGCCCATTGTTTCTTGGGACATTAGCCTTTGCAAATGCAATATATAATGTTTTTAATGTCAGTCTGTTGGAATAAGAATGTACTTTGTCTTGTACAGGAAATGAATAATTATGATTAAATGTCTTGAGGTCACTGGTTGCTGCAAGCCTGGTGTCTACATGGATAGCTGTTGTATCTCTTAATGATTCAGTCGAATGTACTTCAATAAATATATTCCTTACAAGCTGATATTAACTGAGTTATCAGTTATGTGTTTTTAGAATATATTCCTTTTGAGTTTTTAAACTGAAGTTTAAATATTTCTTGTAATACTGTTTCTACATTTTAATAGTAATTTACGATTCATAATTACAGTTGATCAGGGTGAGCCAGAAAGTTGAAATTGGAGGCTGATGCAAATGTCTCATTTTAATTGCTGATCTTAGAGAACATTCGTTTGACCGAGATTGCCTGCTGGATCAAACTTCATGCAGATGTCTCCTGTTCAGTAGGAGAAGGAAAAGATTTCCAAACTTTCTAGCTTTATCTTCCTACCCCCATCCTTCATGTGCTCCAACTCTTACCAAATTCTGCAGCCTGTATCCTCTTCTACAAAAGGCTCTGTATGTCCATTATTTGGCTCCTCCACAGACTTTATTGGATCCCAGAACATCAACAACTGACTTTAGTTCTTCATCTTGATTTCCAAATCCCTTCACAATCTTACATACAAATGCAGAAATGTTCTGGATTGAAGTGGGCTGTTGAGGCCACTGTGTCTGTGCTTCATTATACACTTAAAATGTCTTAAAGCACCGTTCTTCAAAAATACAAATAAACTTGACAAGGAAAGCAGAGGCACAGACTGTCTGTTCTGTTCTCTAGACTGCAGAAGGTTGTCTTTGATGAGAAATCATCATCACTGGGGTAATCAGCACAGTAGAAATGGCTCAAAATTAAACCTGTACTGTCCAAACCAAAATTACCGCTAGGTTTTCATCTTGTCATTATTCCAGTACTAACAAGTTTTGCTTCAATGGGAGTCTATTGATTTTAATTTATCTCATGCATCTCTTAACTACCTTGCCCCTTACAGTGGATTACATATTCCTGGGCTCACTAATTCCATTTGTAGTAATGGAGATCTCATCTGATAAACTTGAGATCATTGAAATGATGTATTGGGTTTTTTTTGCCTCAGCTTCATGAAGTAGAGTACTGAGGTTGAGCACAGTTTGCCCTGTTTCTCACTGTTACCTTCATCTTTTCATTTGTGCTTTTGCTTACCATTAGCCCCCAAACCTCCATCCCACCCCCAGCTCAGGCTCCTAGTCAGTTGTGGTATGTGCTTTCAGATTCCTCCTGATGTGAAAGGTACAGTATATTCTGTGAAGCACTTTGAGACATCTAGAAGACATGAAAAGCGCAATATCAAATGTAAGGATTATTATTATTACTATATGAATGTAGGTTGTTGAACTGATAGTGATTTCCAATTTGCCAAGGAACTGCAAGATATGCTGTACAATTTGATTTTTTAAAAAAAAATTGAGTGGGAAATTTGTTGGGATTAGTTTTCAGGTTTTTACTCCTTGGAGCAGAGAGTGTTGAGGGGTGATTTAATAGAGGTATTCAAAATTTTAATAAGAGTAGATTGGGTGAAATTGTTTCCTCTGGAGGGTGGGTCGGTAACTAGAAAACACAGATATAGGATAATTGTCAAAAGAACCAAAGGGGAGACGAGATTTTTTTTTACCCAGAGTTACGATCTGGAATGCACTGCCTGAAAGGGTGGTGGAACCAGAATCGATAATAGCTTTCAAAAGGGGAATTGGATAGATAATTAAAAAGCAAAAATTTGCAGGGCTATGGGGTAAAAGCGGGGGAGTGGAACTAGTTGGTAGCTCTTTCAAAGAGACTGCACAGGCACTAATGGCCGAATGGCCCTCCCTCTGTGCTATAAGATTCTATGATTTAATGATTCTATGAAAAACAAAAAGTAGGATACAATTATTTTAATTCCCTTGACAGCAACTTCCAATATGCCTTTTGCATTTTCACCTCCAATGTTAGTAATCTGACTCAATTTCCATCAAAACTTCATTTGACAGTATATTCATGGTTATTTGCTTTGATTAAGTGACTGCCTGTTAGGGAGAGTTCCTAATTGGGAAGGGAGGGAAGAGTTTAATACAGCTTGACTTAAACTAGAGCCAACTCTTAAACTAGAACCAACTGCAATACTCTTCAAAAAAAATCATGGTATGCGCCCAGACTAACAATGCAGCTCTTATGCCCAGCTCTGAGAAACCCATGTAGGGGAATCTTCCAAAATGTTCCTGCCCCTCTCTCCTCACAACTATACACACCATTAATTTGAAAAGTATGCTTTCAAAGGAGACATTTAAAACTTTCCAAGCCTGACTGCCCTAGAAACGTTCCACATGAAGATTACATTCAAAGTGTTTCAGGATATTGCAATTTATTGAAAATATATTGAAATAAGCTAGGGTATTTTTGACATAATAGCGCAGCCAGGACTAATCTCTGTCCTGGTGGTCCCTTTTTTTCTTGGTTTTCATTCCTGTCTCTATCCATATGTTTTTGATTTTGCAAAAGCAACGAAAAAATGTCTGGTGCTCTATCCTCAATTCTGAATCTTCATGGGTGGATCTGAGCAGTTACACGACAGTGCGTTCTATTTTACATTCTCACCAGAGATTAGCAAACAGGATGAGAGGACAATCCTGGAGTGCTACTTCTGTGATTTTGTTTTCAGATTCACAGTTCTGTATTTGGGTTTGCTGTTTTTAAACTTTTAACAATCATTTCAGGCTCCATCTTGCTTATGCTATAGAACCTTTTTTGTTGTGATTTATTTGCTTCCTTAACTTTCACTGGCTCATGGAATTAGACGATTTCAGGGAAAATAACAATGTTCGGGAGGCTGTATTTTCTTGCAACTCTTGCCTCCCGCCCCCCCACCCACCACTAACCCTCAGGCTGCATATAAACTCACTCATGCCGTCAGCATATCCAGTCTTGACGATTTGAACATCCTGCCCACCAGACTCCCAGGCTTTTCTTTACACAAGCTGGAACTCTGCAGCCATATCCTCTCCCACACCAGGCTCCGCCAGCCCATTTCCCCCATCCTCACTCTGCTTCACTGGCTCCCCAGACCTTAACTGATCCAATATAAGATCCTTATCCTTATTTTTAATTTCCTCCATATCCTCACCCCACAAAACTCTGTACTGTCTCGGCGATTACTTCCACTCAGCAAACACTCGCCGGCTTCATGTCCTTGGTTTCCTTCATGTCTCCTGCCTGATCCACCGTTCCAACAGGTGTCAAGCTTTCAGCTGTTCTGTCCCAGTATGGACCTTCATCCTGGAGATTCTCTGCTTTTTCCCCTCCCTCCTCACCTTCAAAACGCACGACAATAACTATATTTTCAACTGCATTTTAGCCACCCCAGCTTGGGCTTCCAGTTACTCGTATGAAGTGATTTGAAGCAACCTCTTGATTATTGTGTTCCAGAAAATTTGTTTTAATAATGATAAATAAACTACTCGTG